CGCGATGATCCAAAACCTCGTGGGCTTAACATCATCCTCTCCCCGTGTGTTCGTTTGGCTTGAAATCACTTGTCCCGCGCTTCGTGAAGATTCACCCTAAGGGCCGATTCACAAAGCCTCTGTAAGATCTTGTTAGAGGTTTCCCGGTCAAGTCCTGCATAATATAGGAACCTAATTAAATCCGCTCGCCGAAACGACATTTTATCCTACAAAGAACCCGAATACCTGCAACTTATTATTCTCGAATCAATTATTCTCCGTATACCTAAATATGTTCTAACATGTTTCGTACAATTTGTCGCTCTACTAGTCGAGTGAATTTTTGCAAGTAAAGTGAACAGGATCAGGCTCTTTATCGTAATCACCTCTTATTGATTCTGCAGCAGCAGGGAATCACGTTACGCCAGGGTGAACCTGGTGCGCGTTGTCGCTACTTTATCAAGGAAGAATAACGCAGTAGCCGCGATCCTGTTCGAGTAAACAAAAGAAGGCCGTTGCATTGCGAGGGCGCAAGCTATCGCATGTTGCTACTAATATATCAAGTGTACTCATAAATGTTCACGCGGTTCGGAACACTGAATAATGCTGTATCCAATTTCCTCTACAGGGCGTTTCGGTTAATGGAACGATAAATTGTCCGGGTGAATGCTTGAAATTCTATTGCCCCCTTTGACTTCCTTATCAGTCTTCAATGCGAATGGCTCCTCCGTCGTTAAGCCGGTACATATATACAAATGCATTTTCTTCTTTTTTTTGGCTTCTCTTCTGAAAGCAAATGGGACATTCGTTAGTTACACCGGACAACAGACACTAACACTATGAAATCATAAATTCGACGATTGTCGACAGCAAACCGAGAGGCAGAGAAGTCTCTGTGGCGGTCTTGTCGCGCTTGTCGGGAGATGAGAACGGTGCCTTAAGGCTCGCAACCTCTCCTCGAGACGAGATCTCTCTCCTCTCTCTCTCTTTGGTTTCCCACGAGAACCACCGCCGCCGCCGCCTTCTGGAATGTCGCTCTCCCCTTCTCCTTCTGTTCTGCTCCTCCACCTCCGCCGATACGACCACCACCTCCTCCTCTTACCTTGCTTCACCGTTCCTCTCCTCGAACCGCCATGTCCTCTCCTCTTCTATCGCGTCGCTGCAACCCCGGCTCTTCCATTCTCTCCTTCTCCCTCTCGCTCTCACTGCTTTCTCTCCTCTTTTCTCTCTCTCTTTCTCTGACTCTCCCTTGATCCCCTCTCGAGATTTAACGGGGTGCATCGTGGTACACGTTATATCTGCCGATTCGACTCGTGATTAGGAGTGCATATGGGAAAAGAAGAACTTGCGAAGTTAAGGGGCCGCGTTTAAAATATTGGCGCGTTGATCGTAACCTAACCATTGTAGTCCCTGCTCTTCCTCTGCTCCTTTTATCCAGTTGATTGTCAGCCAGGCTTGGGAATTGCTAAAACAAACTGTCGTTGTAATACTTGTATACGGTGGAAATTTGTTTTATATGAATTATGAGAATTGTTCGAAGATTGACAATTCTATTTTATTAATAAGATAATGCATACCTTTTTGTGTGTCTGTAAATATTAAACAGCCAAAGTTTAAATACTCATATCTTGATGATTATTTGCAATTTTTAATATTAATGTTTATTATTCTTCATGGCTATGAAGGAAAGGACTTGGTTTACAGTGAATTATTTCCTTATCCATTCAGGCTCCATTTTGTCTTGTCACTCACAGAATATTAAAATAATATAATTAATACAAAAAATGTTTCACAAGTTATGACCATTTTTTGTTTAAGATTGTTGAACGTCATAGTTAAAAGTTTTAAACTAAATAATGATCAATTAAATTGGTCAGAATTTGATGGAAAAGTGGAGAAAAAAATGGAAGACGTAATTGAACTGATGGTCCCGTAATGTGTGACTTCACTAAATGTCACATGTTAGATTTCATTTATCCCTCTATTCCTCTCCGCAACGCCAGATTTATTGATCCATAAACAAGAAACTACGCGCGAATCACGGGAGAGTTAAACGTTGAGTGAGATACGCACAATGGTTTACGGCCGTGAATTCTTTATAGCTCGTTGATTATATAATTTTACACGACAAAGACCTTTTAGTCGATTGTGACATTGTTTCCTTACTATTATTCGTCAATGCACGTTCACGTATATTTATTGCACAGGGTAGTATTAATGCTTCTACAGGTTCACGACTTATGAATCACCGAAGATTTACTATAGTTAAAAGTAGCAGAACGTTTCTTTTTCATCCTCACGACGTTTAGCCACAATCGTAAATTAAGCATCTATTCATACAATAAGTAAAAAGTGACAGTGACACTATTAAAAACTTGGATGAGAATTATCGAAAACAAATGTTAAACGTAACGTAATATTTCCGAAAATTGTGCTTTATTTAATTTCACGTTAAACATCTATTAGCAAAGTGCATAAAAACTTTCTCTTATAAAAATTACATACTTTTATATCTAATTTTACAATTGAGTATTTATCGGTACATCGAAAAAATGAAGGTTAAAGTAAGAGAATTTGGCGCCATCTATAATTCTACTCGAACTAGAAAAATGTAATTACCTAATCACTTAACCTCTCTTTTTTGGCTTCTACCGGGAGTCTCGCTGCTTGTATTTAATTCCTTTCCCCGCAAATTGATACCGTGAACAATGTTTCATTTTACGCTCCGTTGGCTTACCATTCCGGCAGGATGTTTTGCGCGCCACCAGGCTACTAACCTTCTTGTTTTGTTTCATAATTTCAACGTGCTTAGTTTCATTCTGATTGAATGGACATCGATGGAAACAATCGACCATCCGTGGCCGATTATTCCGTTGGTACTAACATCGAAGGTTGGTTCTAATTGCTGTTTGAACCTAACGTCGAAAAATATTAATTCAGACGGTGCTGCAAAATCCCCATTGTATTTCAGTTTTTCTCCTTCGACTGGTGCACATGGCTCTTATTACACGTCTGACTAATAATAATGGTGGTTTACACTTTGCTACCTATGTTTGCACCGCGAACCCGTAATAAGATGGTCGTCCGTTCGTGATTGCGCGAAAGTGTGCGTCGATTATGTGCACAACGGGTGACACGTTCGAAATTCGCATCATAATGAATCTCATGGGAAATATTGAAGCAATCGTTCAAACTACGCATCGGTGAATTCCCGCCAAAAAATACCGAAACTGTACGTCACAAACAAAGTATTCTGTTTTTAGTCAAAATTCGAATAAGTGTTTAACCAAACCTTTTGGTATCCACGTCGCGTTAATTTTCTTGTACTTTACGAGATTTAGAATGTATAATTTAGATTTTGTTTCTAATCATTTATAAACTTGTCTATAGTTTTTTACGATGACGTTTTATTGCGTAGAACACTTTTGATTCCTGGCATCGAAGACGTAGAAATCGATATTTCAAGCAAACTTGTAAGAATCATTTACAAGTTTTGAGAATTTTCTTCTTAATTTTGCTTTTTATATTATGCAAATTCATTTGCTGTATTTTAATTTCTCTGTGATAATTGATCGATATATTGCGCATATATTTTCAACGAAATTTTGGCGGGATGTATTGGCGGGAAAACGAGACAAGACTAATTGTTAGGCGTTCTTTCGAATCCCTTTCACGGACAGATCATTTTGAATTGCGCTACTAAAAAAAAGCGATGTACCGTTTACCTTAAAGTGTGTCACCCGATGTGTGGTGTGTTGTTGTTCAAGTCAGCCCAGACGTAACACGAGACTGACCATACGAGGCGGCCACTTATGATGCCCGATATACACCATGTCCACTAACACTGATAAAAAAACACTGACACACCATCCTCGTTGCCAACACTATCCCAGCTTATCAAATTTTAGACTAACGACAGCGAGAAAACAGGTAGATAACGCCCGCTTCTTTTTCTCCACTTCTTCTTTCTCGTCCTTTTATTCTTTGACACTACAGTAAGCTAAACGACTAATGACAAACGACCAATCATGTGACAGATTAGGTACTACAATAGTCATGACAATTACATCGACGAAAATGTTTCTATTGCTATTTTGAAATATATAATATTAATTACTCACGTGGTAACAATTATTTTTATAGGCGATAATTGCTATTAATATTTTTCAAGCAAAGTTTATTCGATTTTTCCTTTGCCTTGATAAATTTTTCTACTCTAAAATTCACAGACATAGGAAAGCATTTTATTGACGGTTAATTAGAAATCGGTGAATGAGAACTACTGAGAATGTTTTACCATACGAGTATGATATTGAAGAAATCTGTAAAGCTTGTTACAGATATAATGGATAACGTTAAACGTGAATTACCATTGAATGGTAAGAATTTCTTCTCGCCAAGATCGATCGTTAAAATAGAAGCGGCAAGTTTAAAATAAAGTAAACGAATGAACGTGCACGATACACAATTTTGTTGTGTATAGTAAATTTTACGTTTTATTAAATATTTATGTGAGTTTCTGTTTTACCATCGATAATATTAAACTGCTTCATGTTTTACATAATAAATTAAAAAAGTTACGTATTTAAATTTTATATTTGGACATAATGTACCTACATGTAATTACAAAGAATTGCATAAACGATTTACTTATCCGGTTAGCGGCATGAATGAATATGTTACGAATTTACATACGGTTATTTTATTTCTCACAAAAAAAGAAATGTACGATATAATAATACCTTTCGATGATTAATAATTAAGTTACAAAACGTCGCGCGAATATTTGAACGCGGAGGGTGATTCGTGTGGAACTTATAATGATTTATGCCCTTTTCTTTGTTTTTTTGTAGTTTTCATGATTTTTGAGGTTTTCGGTGACTTCGTAGCCAAGCTTCTCTTCTTCGACGGTTTCTCCGCTATTTTCGCGTACTTGTCGATCAAAGAGTCGAAGAATTTGTCGGATTGACTCGCTCGAGCTTCGTTGCGACTCTGAATCGCCAACATCAAATTATTTGCAGCTGCGTTCTCTTCGTTTTCGATCTTCAGCATTTTGTCTAGACGATCGGCTTCCTCTGCTTCTTTGGCCCACTAAAAATAACAAAACACGATTCTTCATTATTTCGTGTCTAACATGTGATCCTTTTCATTGCAAAAAGTAGCAAGAATTTAAGAATTTTCTTCCCTTCAAAGTTTGAATGATATAGTAACAAAATCGTCGTTTTTATTTTTTTCTAACAGAACACCCTACATTTCTTTACGGAATTTGAAAGAGCATTAAAAACTGAGTAAACAAGTATTAAGGTACAATACGTTTAAACTAGATATTTATCGCGATATATACAAGAAAGTTTTATTGCGGAAAGCGTCGCGGTGCAATAGGTGCACGCTCAGAACTTTTATTGCAAATATTTTACCAAATATCTACTTTAGACCTATAACACCCTAATACTTATCTTCTCAGTTTTTAATGCTCTTTCAATTTCCGTAAAGAAACATAGAGTGTTCTGTCAGAAAAGAAGTAACCTTCGAAACTTCATTTGTAAACAATGTAGAAAAACATAATAATATTCCCTTTGAAACCACGCAATTTTTCGTACAGCTAGTAGTTTGCGAGTTAAATCATCGAGTTAGCTGAATCATCCTGTATTAATCTCACTTAATATTATTGATATATGTTATTTCACTTTTCGAAAATGTTTCATTCTATCCTCTTTATGTGTATCACATTTGACCCAAATTAATAAAAAGCTCGATTAACGACCAGCAAGAGATACGATCGAGAGATCGATAAATCAGTGCAGTCTGCTCCAGCATGCTTATTAACGACATTAATTACGACCACTTCAGGACACACACGTAACCCTATTTTCGAAGCTAGCCATACGCCCTATCCTCGAGATTGTCAGACAGTTGCCTTTCGACTCCGTGGCTCGTCAGCGGAGAGCAGAAGTTAATTTTAACGAGGGATCATCAAAAGTATAAGATAATCAAGACTCCGGTTTCTCGATTCAAGGACTCCAGCCGAAAAACATCCGTTTCTATTTTCTACGCCTGCGAAAATTGTCGAACGTGTGTGGCCACGTTCGACCTGTACACATTTCGAGCATGCCTGCATTAAACATGAAAGAAAACGCGTGATGTTTCAGTCAGTTATTTGCTCGAGATATTCATTGAATAATACTTTAGTCAGAGTTAGAAATTAGACGTGAAAACTGAGGTATATAATCATGTTAGTCATGGTCAAGAATTAGAAGCTGAAGTTGAGGTAGTTATTTGTGAAAGAGTCAGATTTTGGGAGAAACTTTAATTAGAGATTCAAATTTAAATTTAACAATTGCACATTTTGTCGGTTCTTTGAATTCTGATGTAATGATACTTTCGTGTAGTATTTTGTGTTTTCTCTTTCTATGTGATAATGAGAGAAATTAAATTAATTTGGAAAATCAGTGAAATAAAATTTGATATAAAATAAATTGCATACAAAAAGTTAGTAATAAAATCATTTGCATATGAAAAGCATAAAAGTACTGACAGAAATGTGTTACAATTGCAAGATCAAATTTCTCTGACTAAAAATACAATTCTACTGGCGCAGAGAAGTAATAAAAACGTCTGAAGTCTCTCTCCCCTTTTTCCTTAAAAAATCCAGAACTGGATCAAACCTGGCTAAATTACCAAATAAACCATCTAAAATTAAAAGTTCCATTGTTTTCAACAGAAAAACTAAAAACCAAAAATATTATCTCTAATTCGAAAGAATTTACTGCAGAAAAACTTCGACGTCCATCTTTCCACAATTCTCGTCTTTCTCACAACGACAAATAACCTCAAAATTTATGTCCAATTTATACCAACAGAATTCCTCATCTCGCACGTAATAATTTCATGGTTGTTCAGAAAATAGACCATTGTCCGTCGAGGATCTCGCCAAAGGAGCCAAACTAAAACATAAATTAAACATTCTCGCAAAAATACACGTGAGCAGGTACGGGAGTGATACATATGTTGTTCAACGGAGAAAAGGCGGATCCTTATAAATAGAGGCGTTCGTGGAAGCGTTGAAGTGTAACTCGCGCATCCTTCAACAGAAGCATATGCAAGTGTTCATGGTTCATGATTGTCGATGATGTTCCATATTCCCAGTGACCTACTCCATAATTTAACGCTGAGGAAATTCCGTTATTTATAATTTCTGGCAAGTACATCTGAGAGGCGGCCTAATGTTAGTCGATTGCGTAACACTTCGCGAAATTCTGAATGCATCGGTTTTATCGGAATGACATTCGACTTGAAACTCGACGAACGACAGCCAAACAACGATTAATTTTTCACGAAAACGAACGAGAAACGAACAAAACGTCGAGACATCGCCTCTCGACGATAGAATTCCTCTTTCGTTCGTCGGTGATTTGTTACCTACGCTTAATACCTAACTCTAATTCACTTTGAAGCAACCCTAGGTCGCGGAAGATTTATTTTAGCCGTGTTGACATCATTGTTATTTTCATGCAAACATTCTTGCAAATAAACAAATACGCAATAGCAAGATTGTTATGTAACAATGGTCCTTGCCGTGGAAACGTGTGATCGACGATAGTTTCGGCGTACTGGTTAAATTGTAGAACATTCTTTACCTCCCCGGTTAATTCGCCTATTTATAAGATTCGCCGCGAGAATTCGCTGCGGTCGCCCATCAGATTCGGGAGGGAATTCTACGATTTCGAGCGATAGCGATCTAAACGTTTTACAGTGTACAGAGTGGGACATGTAAAATAGACTTGAACCTAGTTATCTTCTCTAGTTTGATTGTAAAACTTTGATGTGCAATTTAAATGGTTTTAAAGGGCGAATAAGTTGGAAAAAATGGCAAAAACCGAAAGGAAGTTTAATATTTGATTTAAAATTTTGAAAAATGTATACATTTATGTAAAAAAATTGCATTTATAAAAAAAATTTTCTCTCAAAATTAGGAAAAATTACAACAAATATTGATTTCATTTCTGGAGAAATTTGATAAGAAATGAATTTTGCGTTTGAAGAATTGAGAAGTGTAGTTTTAAGAAAAAAGGGTAGATTTGTAAATTTTGGATTTTGAATGTTTGAAACTAATTGTGAAGTTACCAACGAAGCTTGTTTTTACAGAAAATCAATTTTGCATATGAAAAATGAAGAAGTGTAGTTTAAAGGGCGAAATGAGTGGAAATGAGAATTTTCGATTTTAAATTTCTGAAACTGCTTGTTCTTACAGAAAGATTAGCATGGTTTGTTACATTCGTCAAGTTTTGCATAAAAAATCATTTTTCTATATTTACAAATGTGAAATGTATCGATCAACTGCGAGAAAGGAAAGGTTACACTTCGTTAAACATTGAATTCCTTCGCTACAATTTTAAGATGGAGATTAAGTATCATAGTATGTGATGTATTCGCGTAGGTATTTAAATGATCTGCATGATTCAAGTGTCAGGCGACAAAGGAACTATTATTATTACTCACACGACGCGAAGTGTAGATCTTGACGTGTCAATGTTACTTCACGCATTATCTGACGAGAAGTTGATCGTACCGACACGTTTGTATATGTAATTATAAATCACGACGTTTTTACACCTTATATACATATATGTATACGTTTTTCTTCTAATTTTATTACTTAAAAAAATTACACATAATCGGTGCTTCTAAGATACATAATTCTAATTTAAAAAATTATAATTTTATATTAAATTTAATAATTTTAATTTAGAAAATTATAATTATCACAAAGTTGCTGTATGCAATTAGTTGCAATAAATTTCATGTAAAATAACAGATACAGAAGTGAGTAGAATACGATTCTGTTTTGTCACTAATAAATTGCAATTTGAAAATACTTTTCATTCAGAACACAACTTTTTAAATAAACGATCCAACTATCTGTCGTTTCGTAAAAAAATTTATTGATTCAATGGAATAAAAGTGTCGTGATTGAAATATCTTCTTGAAATTCACTTTATAAAATTTTATAAATTTCACGATGGGTAAATTACAGAAAGGACGTATACAATTTTCGTATCGAATGTATTCAAAGAGAATAAGCAAAATTAAAAATCTGTATAATTATTACAAAACTACCGTCTACAATTATTTGCAATAAATTTGATATAAAATAACAGATACAAAAGTTAGTAGAAAAGAATTCTACTTTTTTTTTTTATTTACTAAATCTCTTCCTAATTCGTCGAGAAAAATTTTTATATCACATTCACAAAAATGCTATTTGTACTTAGAGTCACTCATAAACCGTCTTTCAAAAAGTGATCGTAAATCAACAATTACCAAATCCTCCGCAAACCTAAAAATACTATCATTTTACTCGAAATATCAAATTTGATTTATTCATATCACACACATTTTAATACCATAACTAGATAACTAAAAAATTTGGAAAAATTCCAATTTTCTCTACAAAGTGGAGTCCTAACACCATAAAATTCTAACAGAACGCTGTTCAAAAATATGAAAGAAAAAATCAAAAATAGTCAAGTTCAAAATTAACTCCACGTTCAATGCTAAAATTCGGTAATGAACTCACAGTTCTAACAAATTCGACACGTCTAGTTACAGTATTAAAGCCAAAATCTACCGTTTCCTCTAAAAACCGCTAATTCCTCAAACACTAAGCTATTGTACATAAACCAGGCTGCGGATAAATCGAACCGTCTGTTAGACGAATGTTGCACCTTCGATCGGAAATAAGTCATGATTCCGACAAAATGAATTTCGATCGGTGGTGGGCTAGCTAGAACCGATTGATAATATCTTTTAGCCGGCTATTTGCGAATCAAAGACGTGCCAAAATATCCACGTTCGACGTGCACACACGTGCATGGTCGCGAGCGGTTGAGGGATGCGCTTCCGCAACCTTGAATTACCTCGCCTGCGAGTGTCTAGAGCGAACGACACATCTGGCCGCGAGCCTGATGCTCCGGAAATCATCCGAATCACGAAATAATTGAAAATAGTCATCGGGTTCGAGGCAACGATTGCATAACGAAATTCCCTTCGCGGTCAGTCATCGTTCTGGAATTTCGCGAGGGTTAACTGTAGAGGGACATTATGAAGATGTTAGGGTCATCGATGATACGACCGTTGCTTGCTTGTTTATCGATTTGCGTCGGCACGTCGGTTGAACGATAGCTAAGATCGTCGTTTCATTCATTATCTTCCCTAATTTCTTCGATAGTATGTTTTTTTCTTTTCTTTTTTTTTTTTAAAGAAATAACGTGGAGATATGTGTGTTACTATTGCTGATAAGTTTTACAATTCGTTGGATTTTTTAGTTGCAATGATGGAGTTGAGGAAATTTTGATTTTCTTGCCCTGTTTGATGTTGGCGTGATAAGATTTTTTTTTAACGTTGAGGAAATTACTTTTTTGCGGTTTTTAATATTTTGTGAACGTGAAAATTTTGAAACGTTGAAACTTGAAATTTTGAAGAGTTAAAGATTGAAATTGTGGAAAGTTAGAAATGTTTAAAAGTTTAAAGGGAAAATTTTGGAAAGTAAAATATTGAAATTTTGAAAGTTGAAAGTCGAAATTTTGGAGTGTCAAAGATCGAAAATTTGAGAAGTTAAGCACTGAAATTTTGGAAATTTAAAGATTGAAATTGTGGAAAGTTAAAAGTGGAAATTTTAAAAAGATAAACATCGGAATTTTGGAAAGTAAATACCGAAATTTAGGGAACTAAAAAGTCTAAATCTTGAAAACTAAGAAGTAAAGATTTCGACCCTGATTGAATCAAAAATTTTGATTCTCAATAGTGATACCAATAAAATTGAGCCAGAAAAGAGTTAAAGATCCTGGAAAAATTAATACTAATTTTACCGTGATCAGGAAAAGTTAGATTCGAATTTTCTGAAACTCTTATACTTTGTCGCTATTTTAACTTGTACCGCAAGCAAATTTATTTGTATTTTGGCTAAAGTTCGTCTTGATATCTTTATGTATGTATGTCGTGTTATTCTTTATATGATTTATTTAGTTATTCCGCACGTTGGATTAGAAGCGAGATAATTTATATCGCTGATAGGCTAAATACTACTTTCCATAAATCTTTCGTATTTTCAGTACTGCTTCTAAAACCGCTCAAACATTTTAAACGTCTGTACTAAAAAGTATTAAATACAAAAAAATAAATAATAAACATAACAAACTTCTAAAAAAAAAAAAACTTTTCAAAAGAATTTTTGTATCTTTTCCATAGCAATCCATACACTTCATTATTTAAAAAAAAATAACTCCAACGATCCACTATTGTTAAAACCATCGAAATCCTAAAATCCGATCTATAGCAAAACTACCCTAGAAACCAAACTCAACCCGAATAAAGGGTATCGTAACAACTTGATCTCCGGTTCACATTACAAAAAAATGTGGAAAAATATACAAATTGAACTATATATATATACCCTACTGCGTACTAGCCCCGAGCATGTTGCTCGAATTTCATAACGTTATTGCTATTGCACGCATTAGGAATGCACGTCGGCGCACGTGCATCAACAGAGATACCGCGTTCACAATGGACTCCTTGAATCGATGGCTCTCCGTGACTTCCGGCAAGTCCACTTGATGCCTGTCTATCATTCAAAGTTGGCACATACACGTCGATCCTACCAGGCAAACCAGGATCTACTATATACACCTGTTGCAAACCAGGGGAGACCCGACGTAAAAGACTCGCCGCCGACATAGCTCTTATCCTCCCCGCTATCTCTCGTCGATCTCTCTGACAAAACACGAAACGCAGTACATCTCGGTCAAACGTGTACCGGTCAAGGTCGTTACATAACGTTGAGCATTAGATTGGACGACGACATTAGTAATTATTTCATTAGCACACCGGATACATTGCGGTGGCCCTCGTCGCTTGTTACTGTTTCAATTGATATTCAGCATCGCGCCGCCGCAGAAATCGTATTTGGCTTTGACTCCTTGGCAAAACAAATCTTGCACAACCTCCTCGGACACGCGTTCTACAGAGCGAGAGATCGGAGAGTAGTAAAACGAAAAAGAGAAAAGAAAATAGTTTATGTTACACTTGGATGCAAAATGTAGGCAAGTGTTTCAATTTAACACGGTTCATTGCCACGCCAGATTTACTTGTTACTCTCGAGGAGACCAGAGGAATACTTTTCTAAATTACTCTAAACGTAATATTGTATTGTGCTTTCTTAAAAAATTCAAAATAACGTCTAGGACGTCTACGATGTTCGAGGTTTTTTAATCGACGATATTCGTTTGATCTGAATTATTCTGAACATTCGAGACACTCTGGGTCATCGGTGACTAAATTGTGACCCCATCGAGGAGACAATCTCAGGTGACCAACGTGGCATTGAACGTGTCTAAGAATGATTTGGAGAAATTGTACGTACGCTGTGGGTTCCGCAGGCTGAGCGGTGCTTCCGAAGAACGAACCGTCGTCGGTTCGGTTCTTCCAATTTAGCGAATCACGCAAATAAATAGTGTCCGAGGTTTGCTCGAGGTATAGAAAACGATGATACCAGCTGCACACACTTTAGGTCACTCGATCTCTTAATGTCTGTGATTAAATGATCTAATAGGTGATGTCGTTTAATGTTTCATTATCAGCGATACTCTTCGCGTCGATTATTCCACAGGTTCGCTTTAAACGATGTATGTATATGCGTGTATGTGTGTGTGTGTGTTTCGTCTTTTCGTTTGCGGATCGTCCGAGATAACTTAACAACAGGTGAAATCGTTCAATCGTGATTGTAAGGTTAGAGCGAATCTTTTTTTAGCTAAAATCCCTCCACAAGGACGCGTCCCCTGATCAGAAGGAAAACGGAAACGACGATCATTGCTACGGAGCTCTGGCTCGACGACGGCGATGAATTCCTGGTTGGACAATTGGGCAATGGCTTATCGGTGGTCGTTTCAATTGGCACGGCTCCCGGAGTCACTTCCTCCTGCTGAGGCAGATTATTCACCAATTGCGGTGAATGGACAGTGACTGTGCTCTCGTAATAAGGTGCTTGATGCACGTTATCTGGCGGCATTGGCTCGACCAATGACGGTGGCAAAGGTCGTGAAACGTGATTTGTCGGTACTTGGTTGTCCATCTTCGACGAATCGTCGGTCTTCATCTCTGTCCAATCTGTCCTAACGAGACTCGTGGTTACTTCTGCGTTAGGGTCGACGAATGTCGGCGTCTGACGTTCACCGTCTTCCGGGCTCGGTGCCAAGGGGAACGAGTTGATTGGGCTCGAGTAATACGGTTGTTCTGTGTAACGCCCGTCCTCGTTTCTATGGGGTGGATAGGCCGGCAATTCAGGCCTGGCGCTGGTGGATTCCGGGAATCTCGGCCAAGTTCTCAAGGTTGACGTTACATCTTGGCTGTTGTACGTAGTCTCGGGAGGTGAATTCGTTGTCTCGTCGATTGACACGACTAATCTTGGTGTAGTGTAGGTTCTCATCGGATCGTCGTATGGTGAATTCGTTGTACTTCTCGCCGTGTCTTCGTAGTTCACCGTAGACGGTTTTGCGGTCATTCTCCAATCCGGGGTGTTGTAGGTTGGACGATAGAGCACTTCTTCTGTTGTTTGGAACCTTGGCGCGATGTGCGGAACGGTTGATTCCACAGCTGAAGGCGGTGTCATCGTTGGAGGATGCAATCTTTCGCGATAGATAGGCAATCTCGTGGTCGGTTCCTCGGTCAATGTTTCCTCGTCGTCGGTGTCGTAATCAATTGGAAGCTCTACTGGGACCAGATCGGACGTTAGTCTACTCCACTCTGGATCCTTCTCCAAACTTACCCCTTGGCTTCCGAGAAAAGCGCTGACAGCGTTTGGACACTTGAACTCGGAATTCTCCGTGAGGAACATCCTTTTCAGGTCCTTCAAATGAGACATGTCTTCTAGGTTCAGACATTCCAAACGATTACCAGAAAGTCTCAGGTCGACCAAGCTTGGTAGACTCTCGAATACACCGTTTTCGACGGACTCGATGTTGTTGTAATTCAGATCCAAGTAGGTTAGAGAGTCCAGACCTTTGAACCAAGATTCCTTCACGGTGGTCAAGTGGTTGTTGTTCAAACTCAGTTGCTGAAGGTTGTTCAAACGTTGAAAAGCTCTGTCCTCGATGTCTGTTATCCCGCAATGGGAGCAACCGAGGACCCAGAGATCCGAGCCGAACCTTGAGAATGTGTCCTGGGTTATCCGTGATACCGGCATGTCCTGGATGCGAATTTTTCCGGTGTACACCGGAAGATTGTCCAAGTCAGAAAGTTGACCACCAACGCACAAGTATTCTATCATGTCTTCGTTTGGCACATGTCTACACACCCCGTGCACTCCACCGACACTCGCACACAAAACAACGAAGAGAAACAGTTGAACGATGGTACCCATTTTTATCGATCGATCGATCGTGTTGTTCTGTTAAAAATCTCCTGGTGTATTGTACAGCTTTTTAACGTGAGAAAGAGTACGTATCATTATTTTGTGCGCATTGAATCGAATAAGCTCAATGGTTCGCAGTCATCGTGGTAGGGATTTTAGCCGAAAATTCTGCAGCTTCTAGCGGTGAGCTAGAACCGATCTAATTGTTCTGTAGACTGAATCCTCTCTTGCGTTCCCTCTTTACTTATTTACTAGTATTCCCCCACCTATTCGCCGTACTAGTAGTCCACCTCTTACTACAACTTCCAATCATGAAGCAGTACTATGTATTGATAAAAATAGAAAGGCTTGAAAATAGTGCGCTGCTCACTTGTTCATCAGATCTTCCGAAGTGATCTACAGCCGGAATCGAAGAGAGGGAGGGGTTAGATATGACGCTTAAATTTATAAGCGTATTGCCCACCCGTACGCACGCCGGTTTCGCGTAATATCGGCGAAATGTGATTGTATGGAGAAAAATATACATACCGTTGTGGATTTTGCGCATTGAAACAGAATCATTGGTTTTTTAAATAAATTCCTCACTCGTGTATACCTTTATCAGTTTTGGTTATATGTATATATTAGGGTTGCATTGTTTTCAAATTTTCGCTTATAACAAAATTATCGAAAATTTTTATATCTTTCTGAGGTTTGGTTTTATTTATTAGAATTGCATTGCTTTCAAACTTATACTTATACACATGATAAAATTATGAAAAATTTGCACTGAAATTAATTATTTTGTGATTGTAAAGAAATAAAATTAAGAATACCGAAGAGTTACAGATGTTAGAAGAATTTTGTTAGGTAACATTTGATAATATTCAGTGGCTTTGCTGGATTATTACTTACCTTGCGTTTCCTACGTTGCTTTTTCTTTTCACTCTCTTGTGTGAAAGCTTCATACTCTGGTACCTCACCCTTTTCTATCAATTCTTGAATAATACTGTGTATTCTGGGTTCTTCTTCACAGGAGGTAAAAGGAACAGACTCTAGAATATAGTCCATGTCTCCTTTGCCTGTAGAAACATATTTACATGGATGCACTCAATGATTAAAGAACTATGTTACAATGCTTGCTACATTAAATTTACATACTGTCCATATAAGCACGCTTCAAGTCTTTAGTCTCTATTTCAGAGCCTTTGTATGTCTGTTTGTAATTGTTTATATCCTCTACAGAGATTTTCTTGAAAAGAGACTTCCAATAGTCGGCCCAATTCCTCATCATAACTTCTTCACTTTCTTCGTCATATTGACCAGATTGATCGTAAATTTTACGTTTTTCAGTGTCGCTGAGAATAGAATGAATTCGTCCAAGAACTTTGAATTTTTCTGTTGCCTCTGCCTTAATATCCTCTTCAACACGATCGGGATGTACGAGTAGAGATAGCTGATGATACGCTTTTTTCACTAATAAAATATGGGAAACATTCATTATCTAATATCTGTACTTAACGATCATTTTTCATTCGATACATTTCACTAAAATGGAAAATATTCGAAGTTACAGATTGTACAAATAGGTTATGTTTATGTACCTTGCTTATCATTAGCAGTTGTTGGTATTTTTAAAACTTCATAAAAATCGCGAGCACCAAAGTATTGTTCACAAAGATCTAATAAACTTGTCATGATTTTAATTTTTTATTACCAATAAAGAAATGTTACTCTAAAGTGACAGGCCTAGAAGGTTATATATTTTCGCGGTTATTTTCACCTGAGCACGTTTAAAAATATGTGATGAAGGTGGCTAAATGCGATTCAACTATTATCACGTGTAAAACACTAAAAATTATTTACCAAATAAAAATCACTATAGTTATTATAGGTTATGGGAATGCATTATCACTTATTAAAGGTAGATTATTAGAAGCCAAAGAGGGCAGTCACAGTATTATAACAAATCGTTTATGTTAGCATACGGCGCCAAATTTATTTTTCGATTTAATTCTACGCACTCCAACTTTTAATTATGTCATTTATATTTTCTTGTAGAGTAAATAATGTTTCACAAGTATTATAAGATATCACTTTGTAAGGTATCTACATTATCAATGTTGAATGATTTTTTTTAATATCAAAAATTCAAAGTGCGAAGTAAGTACTTCAATTGACAATGTATTTTACTTAGAGTTTACTGATTATAAAATACAATTAATCAAAATGACAAATAGCCAAGTAGTTTAATATAATAATGCGTTTAAAAATTTTATTCGTATTGCAATGTATTTATTAAACAAATAAGTATTTTATAAATTAATTTTTTGTAGTAAATAATGATCAACGGTTATAAAGTATTATTTTGCAGATAATAATAACTTATTAAATTTCGTATCATTTTTAAAGATCTCGGAATTAGTTTTTATGTGTATATGTAGTTTTTATAATGTATATTTTTAAAATTAAAACCTGGGTTATTGCATGGTGAATGGTATTCATGTATTTTTATCGAAACAAATAATTTATATAAATTTTACAATAACAGTAATAGTTTGAGAATAGATTCTATAGTTTTTAAACGAGCAACCGAAGTTAAAGTTGAAGGTAAAAAACTGTCCTTGTAGGACGATTCCACGAAAACGAGTGTTTCTTTAAAAACGTATACGTATTTGTTTTCTAATTGTTTTAGTTGTTCTATATGAATGGTGTAAAATCAAAATTCAACTGGCATGGTATCTTAATTGTATATTTACTATATATTCTTGACAGTAGGAGGTTGATATTGTCATGATTTTTAATTTCTGTGATATGTAACAATTTATTTATTCGTTTATTTATTTGATTAAAAAATAAATCTGTTCTTATGTCGTTAGTATGATGTTTTTTTTTTTACAAGTACATATATTAATGTTTTGCTGTAATTTATAATTTACATATTCTTTTGTAGAAAATTTAATGTAATTTATATTATCGTTAAAATTTTCGAAACTTTTTCTTAAAATACATGAAAAATTCTAAACTTCTATGTCGTAATGAGATATTGAATGATAAACACTGTTGTTAAATCTGTTTAGATTCAATATCCCATGATAATGTAATTGCCTTAAAAAGAATAAAATGTATTTTGCGTTTTAATATAACATTAATATTAAAAACAAATTAAGTAACATGGATTTAGTATTCCCCAACACAAGTAAATTATTGAACCTAACAGTTTACAATTTATTAGTAATGAAGCTAATCGATCTAATTCAAAATATCGGTTTTTAATATTACAATTCTATAATTCTATTCTATCATAAACATTCAACAGACCACGCATTTACATGTGTTTTATATGCAAAAAACGTTTCATTCTTCTATTACCATCAGCACGTTTGTACAGCATCGATATGTACAGAAAAAGTATCTAAAGTTGCTCATTAATAAAATCATTTATTGTCTGAGAAGGGATAAAGTGTGACTATACAATTTTAGGAACAATATGCATCGTCAATGAATCATATGTAAAATAATTTTAGTATGTGCAAGAAATCGACAGCTTCATTTATCTTCCGTTTTTTATACCAATTGAGTATCTTTACTCTAATGTACGTCTACATTTGATCATAATTACATTTTTGCATTTGTTTTATTAATAATCTTACAGCAGTGATTTATGTTACCTTACAGAGCAATTATATACATTAATTGATGTTATAAATATAAGTTATTTTACATGTATATCTATATGTTCAGTTATGTAGTACATAATATTTTGAGCAGCTTTTCTATTCAAGAAGAATATGATAGATTATTATGGAAGATGGAACTCCACTTTTATTAAACCTCTTTTTGAATGAAAAACAATATGAGTAATTTTACGAAGGTATAAAAACTCATTAATTACAATGATTTATAATGTACCTATTTATAAGAATAGGTAATTCTTAATACAATCAATGGACCGAAAATAAATTTTTCCAAACAAGTGGAAGAATCAAAACCATGTGGTCTTCTTTGGCAGGTATTCTTCGCACGTTTTAAACGAGATATTAAATTATGCTGTTAATTAGTATTGGTAACCTTGTGATTGTTGCTCTTTACAGTATTAAATATCTAAATCATACTCACACAGTTAACAACTGTAACAACAATATTCATTGTCCGTGTAATTATTTCCTTTTGGAGTAAAAGTTCTTTAGTGCAATTGAATATAATCATTAATGTAGATGATATTAATTGTTACATCAATTTTCCATTTGATTTTGATTAAAAAATGACAAAAAGAACAATCAAGAAGAGTTACCAATTCTAATATATGATATAACTATTCCTATGCATTATTTTATTTACACTTATGATTGGCTAACGACAATATCGATAAAATCAGGTAATATGTGCACTATAGAACGAAGTAAACGTTATCGTTCCTCTCTTTACATTTTCCTTTTATATAATGCGTCTCCCTTTTGCAAGATGTACCTAGGCATTTGGTGAGCGATCTCCTCACTTATAATTACACTGCATTCGTTGAGGTTTGAACTTGGATAGAGAAACGTTGCAACACAACGTCGCTCGTATTTTCGATATTGTCTTACAGACAATCATCAACACGATGTACTATTTTTTTTTTTATATATTACGCCTGTGTAATTTATAAAATTCATTTTTCACTAATCTTTCGGTTACTTTTTTTTCCTTTTTCCTTTTTATCAAATTATCACTTCATCAACAATCCCGTAAATATAAACATCTTAAACTTCTATGTTACAAACATACAGGTTTAAAAATAGAATTGAAATATCATTAACAACGATCGATTGAACACGTTTGTTTGCCACGAGGTTTGAGTGTGTTTTACAAGAATATCGTGATGTGTGTTGTTCAACTTCTTTCAACCGGTAGAAACTGTCGTTATTCAGTAGCACATTATATTTCCGTTCGGTGCAAACTGAATGAATTGGCGTGTTACCTCAATGGCCAACGTTAATTCTCAGCGGTTACTAGTTTTTTTTCTTTCTCTCTGTCGCTACGTTTTCGTCGTTCCCTTTACATTCATATACAGTTCTCGACGATCGATTTTTCATAACATTATTTCATACGATTCAATACCAAATCGCAGACCACTTGTAGACCTTTTTGGTACGGACTTTCGGCTAAAGATTGTGCAAGCTTCGCGGCTTCCACGCAATGCTTTCGCGCTAAGAATCTCGTTTGATCGAGACCGTGCGATTTGTGCACTAACTCGAACGCTTTTTCAACGTCCCCTGGCTCTTGAAACCGGCGCATAATCATCGCGTTTAACTCTGGATACTGCAACAGAAGAATGGAAATATATTATCAAACAATAGTTCAGAATTGAAGGGCGAAACTGTGGAAAACTGGTTTTTAATTATTTATTGAACATACATTTTACAAGTGTGAAGTTGCTATTTTGAATCTTCTTTTCTAGATCAGCAGTAATTTATTCAAGAATATTCAAGCTTTCTCTAACAATTTCAATTCTATATTTCCTATACTAAAAATGATAAAAATCGTTCTTTTCATGAATTATCTCATCTTCTTTCATAATTCTTTTTCCATCAATGAACCCTTACCCGTTCACAGGCGAACAGAACTGGAGCTGTTGCAAGACCAAGCTTAAGATCTGCTGCAGTAGGTTTTCCCATCGTCGGTAAAGAAGAAACGAAATCTAATAGATCGTCGACTAATTGAAACGCTAAACCGACATTCCTGCCATATTGGAAAGCTACTTCCGCCAACTGTTCATCAGCACCTCCTAGCATGGCTACCTGTAACAAAACGTGATTATCATAATTGTGAAATTAAAATTGAACATCGACATAATCGACGTTGATTTACTTACTGCTTTCAAGGAATTCGCGATCAAACTGGCTGTTTTGCGATACGTTTTCGTTAAGTAATGCGCAAATCTTTCATTTTCCGTCTCCTTAGAACCGAGCTGCATAAATTCACCCTGGACCAGGTCCGTCACGACCTGGAAATCACCTGGACTTGTCAATACTTATCATCAGGATTACATCAGAATCCTAGAGCACGTGGATACTTTGGCGCATTTAGAAAAATATTAATCAATGCAACTAAAAAATTGGAGAACTTTTTCAAAGATTTTTATTTCAATAGAAATGTATCAAATACGGTGTACTGATGGTTGACTTTGATTATGTTGCATGTGAAATATTATAGGAAAAAAGAAAACCTCTGTATCATTCGAAAAATGAATACATGTGTACTAATTTATTGGTAAACCAAAATTTATGTGCAGAGTGCTTTATATTTTAAGTTCAAATACATTTCTTATTTTAATTTCAACTGTTCATTTTTTCTAAATTTCTTACTAAAAATCAAAAGCACTCTGTCCAAGATACGCTTATAATTACACCTGATTAAATTACCTGACTGAGAGTGAGGGTGACATTGTCATTCTGCAGCTGAGCTATCATTATCGACACGATTGCCAGAATATAATCTCCCGCCATTGTCACCTAAAAAAACAATTTCAAAAGATAATCAAAGAATCTCACAGAATCGCCAATTTTCATAAAATTTTGCACAAAACCAAAGAATTCCAAAATATTCGATACATATATTTTTTCCAGCGACTGATATTCATATTTACGTAACGAAACGATCAAAATAAGTGTTTCACCCTTGAAACTTAAGGGTTGAAAAACTATCAATTGCAATAACTCCAAAACGAATCAACATATAAAAAAACATTAAAAACGAATCTTCTTCAATTTTTCGCTAGGACTAACCCGATGCAAACGAAATTTACACAAAATCAAGCAAATCGAAATGAACTGCAACACTTTCGTAGATCACAAAAGTGAAGTTTATCGAATAAACGAGAAATTAGGACAAGATCAGTCGAATCGAGATAAATTGCAACAGTTCGCTAGATCACAAAAGTTAAGAAAGACAAAATGTCTATATGCGTTTAAGAGTATATACTCGTTTCCTTTCACCAAACATCTTTCGAAAGAGAATCAGAGAAGTTGGAGCGGGTTGAACGTTCGACATCGAAGGATGACTCGCCGTGCGTTTACCTCTGAAGTAGTCTCTCCCCTCTTTCTCTCTCTTTTTTCTCGTGTCTTCTTCTTTTTTTTTTTTTCAAATAGCGCAAGTTAAAGATCCTCGCGAATCGAGGTGTGTTTACATGTGAATTAACTTAATAGAACAAATTGTGCGATTTTATTCGCATAAGTCGATGGTTTATTCGCGAGTCAAGGCTGGTTAGTAATGCCAGAGGAGGCTACTTTCTTTTATTCGTCTTACACACGGACACAGTTTGGCTCACGATTAAGGTAAAAGCGTATACAGAAAGCGTAAAATGAACGAATATAATGAAAAACTTCTTGAACGCGTCAGATGACGCTTTTCATCGTAATGCAACGTTTAACCCATTTGGTACTAACTTCTTTTGCTTACTCTTAGCTGTCTGTGATAAAATAAGTTTCTATTTATCTGAGTTAACGGGGGGTCAATTTCCAATTTTTACTCTTCTAAGTTGTGAAATTCTTCCTGCATAAAGGAAATTTCTTTAAATTATTTTGAAGAAAGTGATCATTTGGTAAAAGTGATTAAAATCATTAAAAATTTAGTGACCAATAATTTTAAATAAATTATTTTAAGGAAATTTAAAATTATTAATCACTAAATTTTAAATTATCTTAATATCACTTAATTGGAATTTACTTCTAAGTAAATTTTATTTTCTCACTTTTCTCGTTATACGTAATTTCTTATTATCCTCTTTCACGTAATTTTGTTAATATTAGGTCAAGCCGTAAGTTCGTGCCGGAGGCGAGAAATACTTCAATGAAAATTCAAGAAAATTCTATGATGGTCTTAAAAAAAAAAAGAATAGAAAAAATCTGTGGATTTAGAAATCGCTTACGTTTTTCTATCAAATTTAAGGATTCGTTGGAAATATTGATCCAAATTATAAAATGACCTAGTACTTAAGAGTCATCACTTAGAACAGCAAAACTCTCGAAAATTATAGCGATGCTATAAAAGTTTCCAGGTTAGAACTATGTCTAATATTTATTAAATTCCCAAATAAAATTTTGATCGCAAGATAGCCGAAAAAATTGTTAACTTTACACTTGTCTCGTTTCACCTCGAACAGTTAACGTTACAGCGAGAAAATCTAAAAGTGTTGAAAAGCGTCCGAGTTTCCAAACTTTCTGTCAGCAAGGTGAAGTGTTTTGTATACCGTTTGTATACTAGAAAGTCCTGTTGCAATGCAAATAAGGACCAGAATAGTGCGAGCACACGTTAAATCATCGAAAGGTAGAATAGATCGTCGGAGACATCGCGGCTACTGTGCATTCGATTTCGATGCATTCGCTTGTGGTTATTCCGGTGGTAAGGTGACAAAAGGAATCGCTAAAGAACATGTTGTATGCAAGCTATAACGTGCTGAAACCACGCTTTCTTAATGGCTTTTAACATCGCCAGACATCGCTCTGTGATTTCCTGGTGTCATTGTATCCCGTATTCCGAACACGTTGAACCGTTCCTTCAATACCTAATTAACAGTAATTGCAACAATTTCCCAGCTCTGTTGCAGCTAATGGATTATTTTTATTAGATTGTGCAATATGAAATTTTGCAGATTTTCAGAACGAAAATTGTTTGTTGAAATTTAGTAAAAATCTTAAATTAACACTCGAGTGATTAATTTTTGAACGATTATTTCGACATTCTATTAAATTATTAGTTTCAGCGAACAATTGACATTTTAGCAAATTCGACATTTTGTTTTCTCAGAGTTTATTTTTTATTTGATAAGATGTATTATTGTTTTTATTTTGACGAGAGTAATGTGAGTGAAAATATGCAGAATTTTTAGAAATATATAATTCGGGATATTTTTAGAATTTATTCATGTTAAAGTTTCGTCATTAAAGAGAATTCCGATGAAATTATTCGACGTAATTGAATATTCAGGAGAGTTTTGTCACTGAAATTTCCATCTTGTAAATTGTATCATTGTCAAGTTCCTCGTTACCTTGATTTTAATAGGTGAGTTAATATTCAACATCATTTCCTACAACCTTCATCTTTGAATTCCCTTCAGGATTCAAAGTTCCATCGAAGTAATACGACACGTGTCAAATATTTTACACACAAACGCAGTATATTAGCATAGATGTCCCCAGAATACTTTGTTCCGGCATAGTTAACGGACCTTCGTTTTATTTTCATTCGAGATTCTGTTCAAAATTCACCGTGATAAAATGTCTATATTTAAATGACCAAGAAACATTAGGAATTATAATATGTATGAAATATATCAGTAAAAAATCGAGTTACCTCATTTGCCTCGGTGAATCTATTATCTACTTTCGCCTAATAAAAGTTTGTCTCGAAACAACCAACCATACATTGGATATTCGCAAAAAATTAAAAAAAAAAAACCTCATTTGCTTTAATTAATCTATCGTTCATTTTCACCCAATAACAACCATACGTTTTAAATATTCGCAAAGAACACCTAGAAAATCAAATTACCTCGTTTGTTACCATACATTTGAAATATTTACAAAAAAGCTATTTAAACAGAACAATTGAGAAATTAAATTACCTCATTTGCCTCGGTGAATCTATTATCTACTTTCGCCTAATAAAAGTTTGTCTCGAAACAACCAACCATACATTGGATATTCGCAAAAAATTATTAAAAAAAAACCTCACTTGCTTCAGTAAATCTAATATTACTTTAAACTTGTAACAATTTTTCATTTTGGATATTTACAAAGAAACCATTTAAGAAGAACAACTAAGAAATTAAATTACCTCATTTGCTTCGGTACATCTAATATTATTTTCACCTTCTAACAATTATTCATTTTAGATATTTACAAAAAAAAAAAAAACATCTAGAAGATCAAATTACCTCATTTTTCTGAGTGAATCTGATATTATTTTCACCTAATAACAACCACAAATTTTAGATATTTACGAAAAGCTGTTTAAAAGGAACAATTAACAAAATGAAATTACCTCGTTTGCTTCAACACCAAACATCCACAAAGAACAATTTTTTCCACGTAAAAACGCTCTTTCGTCGCTTCCCAACAAACCGTCGAGACTTTCTACATTTCCAGCTGTATTTTACCAATTTTACATTGCTCAGAACCGTTTCGACCATCTTCACCGTAAACAATACAAACACTTTCACTACACTATTTTTCCACCTCGTAGGGACGCCTCTACTCGCAGTGAAACTTCACTCAAACCGTAACTTCGCTACTTAAAAAAAGAAAAACATTTAAACCATCGAACAACCGTGTTGAAACCAGCCGATTCGACAGAACCGGAAACCGGCGGTCGTCGCCTCGCGTGACAATGGCCGAAGATGGAAACGCGTCGTAATTCGAAGTTTCACATCCGTTACAATCGTCGCCTTCTTTTCACGCGGCGACACGCCAAAGAGCAGAGGTTTTCCTTTCGGAAATACCGCGTTCCCGCGGCTTTACTCAGATTGCCAATTGTTGTGAAAGATCGAAAGTTTCGCGAAACATGCGTGAATCGGCGCAATAACCAAGAGAGCGCAGACCACGATTGGCGAAAAGCCCGATGTACTCTCCGTCGAGGTTCTACCTCCGCGAAATAACTCTCGATCAATGATACGAATCGAAGTGATTCGTTGCAGCTCGTGGATTGGTCTGGGGTTGCCTCTAAGGTGGAATAATTTAGGCGATAATCGATAAGTTTGTGGCACGTTGAACTTCCGGTATGCGGACAACGCCGATCGAGTAATCTCGTTGGAATTAGCGAGTGTGCGCGATCGCAGTTTTCTTGCAGAACGAAACGAGTATTTTCCTTCTTTTTATAGAGTTAACGAACTATTTATCGTGGCACGAGGCGCAACGTTTGGCTTTAATTGCTGGAGATTGGCAATTCAGAAAGTAGGCGTCCCGATTATCGGTTTAAATGCAACGTGCAGAAAATCGGCGTAACGGACGAACAGCTTCTTTGGAAAACTTCCTGTTTGGCGGAGAATTTGAGTGAAATTGGGTATTTTGAAAATTGGTGGGTATTGATGATGAACGTGTTAAAAGACAATTTTTTAATACTTTCTCTGTATTTTCATGTTAAAATAGAAGTTCCGGCAGAAAATTTGAGAAAATATGACAAATTTCATTTTTCGGGAATTAAAAATTTGAAAGGCTACTTGATAGCTCTTGGAGAAATATGACAAATGTCATTTTCAGGGAAAAGTTTCGAATACGACAAATCTCATTTTCAGGGAAAAGTTTCGAATACGACAAATCTCCGGGAAAAATCTTGAAAGAATATCGAGAAGCTTTTTAAGAAATATGACAAATGTCATTTTCAGCGAATCTTTTTTCTAAAAGCAAACGACTGTCATTATTGTCAATTATTATTTTTTTGCCTCTATAAAGCTGCAAGTATTAACAATTATTCGAAAGTTTCTCCTTTTGCAATAATACAAAACATCTTCTAAAGT